TCCATTAGTAAGATATGTTAAAGGATAAATTTCACAAATAAAGTCGAAAACATAAATCAATATGTAAGAACTTAAATGATTCGTCTTAAAATAAAAAATAATATTTTAAGATGGAAACTTAAATTTTAATTACTCATTAAATTAACGTGCGTAGCCATCTTTTTTGACATTCAAAGCACTGTCATCTATTAAAAATTGTCCTTTAGTTGAAAATTATTCCACTTTCATTTTATTTTAACATATAAAGGTCCAAAAGAGTTCAAATTCAATACTTCTCAATCATTTTTCATTCTCTCTTTTAAAATTTGTTCTTTCTTAAGGGAAGAGATTGCTATATGACCAATTGATCTTATAAAATATAGTTACGCACGTGACTAAAAATCATTCAACTATTTTTCTGTTACTCATCTTAGTACTTAGAGCATCTATAAATTTATATAGTCAAAAATTTGATGTATTTCAATAATAGTCCCTATTTTGATTCTTCATTTTGTTTTTTGAAAGAAATATTTATTGATTTATTCTCCTATTATTTAACGCTTAATAGCAGAAAGTCCCCTTACAAATTTTACCATGCTCTATCGTCAAGATCCATCAATTGTGCCGTTAAATCCCATTAAATAGGGGGAAGATAGATAAAATAAAAAGGGCAAAACCGTCATTTAGTATTTTCCATCTTTAATATAACCTATAGAGCTTAATAGCATCTCATTACCTGCAACCCATTTCGTCTTTTTCGTCCTTAGCTGCAATCACTTCATTCTTAGGCTGCAATGGACTCTAGTCTGTCCAGGTGTGGAATGGAGATTCAGCAGAAGATTTTGTGGACGGCAATGAACTTGGGAAGAAGGTTTTTTACATGCGCACGATGCTTGGTAATGGAAACCCAAACACAATTTCAATTTTTTACTGTGTAAGTTGAAGCTCTCACTTGGCGAAAAATAAAGCTTCAACTGCCTTGTAAATTTTTGTACTAAATGGATGTTAGTAAATGTTGTGATTTCTGTACAAACTCTATAAGTTAGACGATCAATGAAATGTTCCAATTTCCTCATCTATTTCATTTCTTCTTATTTGGTTGTTCATTGGTATTTGATTGTATGTCACAAAGTATGAAATCCGTTTCAAAAAACCCCCCTAAACATTAAATAGGTTGCATAAAACAATCCTGAAAACCTTTAACACTTTGATATACAACCATGTATTATACTAAACACGAGGCATTAAAACCCTAAATTTATATATGTTTGCACAAGTCCACCCTGAAATGACGAAAGTTGCAAATTACAATTGTTATGCCCCGCTTCCGAGGCTCCAGTTAGAATGCCACATCGCAATCTACATGGAAGGGAAAGTCAACGAGGCCCCAATTGGTCAATGGCAAGAAAGTTTGATAAATGCTAAACCTCCTGCCAAAGCTATGCTTAATGGTTGAAGCTATATCTCGATACTCTTGTTATGCTAAGGCTCTTCGCATCAAAGACCACCAACACGAAGCCATCTCAAGCCGAAACCCTTAGCTCATCTTAGGTCCTTGAAGCTAGAGTTGTCTCTTGCAAGATTTACATACAATCTTTAGGAATGATTGATGTGACGTCTGTAATAAAAAAAATGTCAAGTTTGTCTACCTATTGCATAGGGTAGCTAACCTATTATCAATGTATTTAATGTATAATAGACTTAGTGATGTGAGGTTTTGGTCAAGAGGATGACGCCACGTGGTTCTGATCCAACGGTCACCATGTCAGCCAGAAATATATAAATAGGTGGTCTTTGTACATAGAAAAGAATGGTCCTTTGAATATTGAAAAAGATAATATACAAGAGCATTCCCAATATACATTATCGCTTGATCTATTATTGCTAGTCATTATCGTCGGTGTTCGAACATTTTTGTCTTGCATCGTGAAGCAACTCCCGCGTTCACGTGTTACCTTTCTCCCACCGGTTCATCGGTCGAAATGCACCAAAATTTGCTTAGGTTGGCGTGAGTGGACTCGACATATGTTGTCCAAGTTACCGTTACTATTTTCGGGGTCAACAACAACCATATTATACTAAACCCTTTCAATACATACAAACAAAACAAAACAACAGCAGTGAACACAATAGAACCACTACAAATAGTACATTAAAGAAACAAATATTAGTAGACACCAACAACAAGCGTTCACATTACGAACTATTAAGAACCAAAAATAGTAGATTAACAAGACAAAATGATGAGCCAAAAAGTCGATTTCAGTTTGCAGCAAGTGGTTCCCATCCTCTGCAATTCCTCTTCTTATGCCCAGAAGCAACAAATAAAGAACACCTCATCAACATTCCATTCCTTAATGAAGGTTCAAAAGTAGATGTTGTAAGTATTTCCTCTAATTTCGACCACGCCTCCTCCACATTTTCTGGCAAACCATCACCAATATTCACATCGCTTAACCCAACTTCATCCACATCAAACACTGGGATGTAGCAACCTCATGTACTATTTTCACCCCTTCTTTACAGGCACTATTTTATGGGACATCGGGTACTAGTTCTTGGTATGGTTGTTGTGGTAATGCACGTGTCTCGTTAGGCACATACATAAATCTCAAACAACATATGTCATTTAAGGTCCTTCAATATCTCCCTCACATCTAATTCACTACGTAACTTTCTCAAAGCACTACCCAAATTGTCTTTTTGCAGCCTGAAGTAAAATTTTAGAGGCCTACAGTCCCCATAGACACATGCAAATGCCTCGAACCAATCTCTATTGAAATAATTAGCCTTCACAAAATCCACAAACATGACCATACCGTGTTCATACTTCACATTATTAAGCACATCAAAGAACACTCCCACTGTACATAGTCATGTGAAGTAGTCCGTGTATTCGGCTGGATGAAAATCACAATAAAGTTAGTACATGAAATAGTTCAAGACCCACAACAAACAATATGCATACACATTTTACAACAAAATCCCAACAATAACACATAAAAAGTTGAACAAATAAACTTCATTTTTTAAAGCACCAAAATAGGGAAACTTACCATAGATAGGAGCATTTTCAAAACCTCTTGAGTCTTGGAGCCTCCATTCTCGATAATCATAATAAAACTGTAAATATAACCAAAAAAAATAACTAATTTCAAAACTCCATTCCAAAATTTCACAAATTTCATGCACGCAATTTGAACAAAAACCCGCGTCTACAAGTTATTGTCACACTGTTGCTGAAGAATGGCAATTGTTGGACCTTCAAATGTGCTGAAAGAAACCTTTAGTATCGTGGGCAAAGGAGGATCGAATCTTGAGACGTGGGTTAGCGACCAGATTTCTTTCCTTTGTATCTACTCATCTAGCGCAAAACCTCCCTAATGGTTTTCTGTGTGGTTATATTATAGATAAAAATGCTAAATAACAATTTTTCCCTGTTTATTTTATCTATTTTCCCCTTTAGGATTTAACGGCACAATTGACGTTCTCGACAACATTGTGTATTTCGAACAAAATGTTTCAATCATGAACCTTTTTTTGATTTTCAATAGGTATGACGTATTTCGCATATGATCAAGTTTGTAAGGGGTTTTCTGCTATTAAGCATTTATTTAATAATTGTTTATATGTCAATAACCAATCAATTTAAATGTGTTTTTAATTGTTTAAAAAGTATAGTATTGAAATCTATAATTTATTAAATGCAAATGATGATTCTACCTTCATCCTCCACTAATAAGTTCAAGTATTATTATGGCTCTGTTTGAGCCAAATTATTATAGAATGAGAATGAAATATATAGTTGTTTTGAGATCCACACAAGAAATAGAAAATTTGGATTTAAATGTTGATGTGATGGATAAGGTCATATTTTTCATTTTAATAAGATAATAATGTAGATCAAACGAGGGCTAAAATAATAATTTTTTGATATCTTTCTATAACCAAATAAAACTTTTGAAACAAAAAAAATAAAATAAAAGCAATTAAATATTTAAATGAAAGAATGAAAAAAAAAAATCATATTCCACCCTTCAGTATACAATTGTAGCGACGGAGGCGCTGTCATCAGCGTCAACTGATAGTTATTTTTTTAAGGTTGAATTTTTGTACATGCCATTCTTTATCTGATTTGTTCCAATGAAACAAGAAAATTTCTTCGATCAAAATTTTACTATCATTGTTAAGGGATAGAATCTCATATCGAATAAAGATGAAAATATAGACAAATTATAAAGGATTTAGATTACTCCTCTTAATAAGGTTGACGTTTTAATAGAACTCCAAATTTTAACATGGTATCAGAGTCCATTAAACTCCAACGAGTAATTCGATCCGAAAAAATGAGCACACGAATTTCAAGATTTGTCTGCTCAAACGAGCCACCATCTTGTGGGGTATGTTAAGTGATAGAATCCAACATCGAATAAAAATGAAAATATCGATCAATTTATAAAGAGTTCGTATTACTCTTCTTAATAAAGTTGATATTTTAAGATGAAACTCAAAATCTTAACAATCATGACTCTCCTCCCATTTCTCGATCCTTTTAAGTGATTAAGGTGATCCATTCAATTTTTCATATAGAAATATGAATACCAAAACTTTCGCTTCTTAATTTTATGTTCGATCGATTTTCTTCTTTTATCATTCCATTCTTACACGTTCTCATTTTCTTCTATTTTTCGTATTTCCTATTTTAATTCAAATACCCTTTAGCTCTTGTTTGATGTATATTAAAATTAATTTTTTAGTAAATTTTGATAAAAATTATTGAAATGTGTAATTGAAAAGTTGTGAGCCTCGTGAAATAAGTAGTTAAAATTAATTGTTGACTTTGAATTAAATAGAAGCATGATTTGACGTATCATCATAAAAAAGGTGACAGTTGCCAACGTTTCGTAGGTTAGAAATCCTTAGTGCTACATATTCAGAGGTTCAAAACCGAGAAATCGGTAGCTAGTGCGTAAGGACCAAGCAAAGGGAATATGCGATTGAATAGTTTTGTGGGAAAAAAAATGTGTCATGCAGTGAGAAGGTCCTTCACGCTTTTCTCTTCTACCCAATTGATTCCAAGGAAGATTCCAGCCTCCTCCCTTGCCTTGCCCCGACCCGGACCCGGCTTTTTGAGATCTATAAAATCCCGTTTATCAGGTGATAACAATTATTACATCACACTACCGGAAATTTGTGGAGCGCATCAAAAGATGACAATCTCTTCTGGTGAAAGCAGGTGATGCTTTGTTTCAACGCATGCTTCTATTAATCCATATTTTGGTTATTTTGGCGCTGCTAACTTATCTGTAGATGCATTTACATTTATATATGTTTATTTTCAGTGAAAGTGATAGAATAATGTCCATCTTTCGCCTTTTAATCGTTGATTTTAGATGAATTTGAGTGTAAATAACTTGAGAATGTTATCTGAATTCTATACAAGTAGGCGTATCATAACTTCATATTCGGCAGAATCTGTATTGGAATATCGACAATTCACAATTTCATTTCACTTATGTTTGTAGTGCTATTTTGTTTAACAGGATTTGTGATTTTGTATCGATTTGTTCAGATCCCCGTTGTTGACTAAAATTAATTACTACTATAAATACTTGAGATTTATCCATGAATGTAAATGTCTAATGTCTTTGATCTATTATAATCCTGAATATCTCCATTTGAAAATTCCAATTGCTGCCTGATGGATTTCCGAACAGATGCCAAGTAAGGAGAAAATTTGATGCATTTTTGTGAACCACACCTCTGGTAGTAGAGTTGAAAATTAAGTGTTTTTTAAACACCAACGACTCGTTGTATTCCATAGTTGCACAGGAAGTGATTAGTAGAAAATTTTCAATTCAATGTTATGAATTGTTGTTGTACGAACAAGTTTGAGGTTCACTACAGCTGTTTACAAGATTTTGTAGAGAGGATGCTTGAACTTTGAATTAGATGCTTTTGTGTTCAAGAGAATAAAAAGAGTTAAAAAGGAAAACTGATTGATGCCCTTTTCTCTTAAACAGCACTTGTTCTCTGTCTCAACTTGCTCCTATTGAGGCTGTGCTATTTGACGTGGATGGAACTTTGTGTGATTCAGATCCCATCCACTATTATGCTTTCTGTGAAATGCTTCCAGAGGTTTGAACTATTCTTTTCTAGTTACTTTTATAATTATATTGCCAATCATATATTATGTATGCATTGGGGAAATTTTATTTTGTTGTGAAGTGCCTGTAGATTATGTAAATGCCGGAAAAATGCCTAACTTAATATTAATTTGCTGAAATTCTGAATCAATGCATTTCGTCGCTGTTCTATGGTGTCTTAAAAATGCTGATCTATTAAACAGATTGGCTTCAATGGTGGCGTCCCAATTGATAGAGAATTCTACATCAAGCATTTTGCTGGGAAGCACAATGATGAAATTGCTTCTTTTCTTTTCCCTGATGATTTTGAAAGGGGTGTAAAATTTTGTGAAGAGAAGGAAAATATGTTCAGAAGGTGAATTTTATTTTTTCTCCTTCATTTAATGCAACCTTTTCCCGCCCAGAAATTTTAACCCACCTTCACAAATAATTATTTTGAATGGAAAATACAGGTTGGCTGAGGAGAAGTTGAAAGCTGTAGATGGTTTGTACAAAGTGATAAAATGGGTTGAAGACCGTGGTCTGAAAAGAGCTGCTGTTACTAATGCTCCCAAACCAAATGCTGAATTTATGATCTCGACTCTTGGACTGTCAGATTTCTTCCATACCGTAGTTCTTGGAAGTGACTGTGAACATGCTAAACCATTCCCAGATGCCTATTTGAAGGCACTTGAAATTCTCAACGTCTCGAAGGATCACACATTTGTATTCGAGGTTTGACCTCATCCACACTCCCTTCAATATTTAGTTGCTCCTCATACTTGGTAAAATTTATACGACTTTTGGTTGTCTAGGATTCTCTTTCGGGAATAAAAGCTGGGGTTGCGGCAGGGTTGCCTGTTATTGGCTTGACAACAGGAAATCCGGCACACTTGCTGATGGAAGCAAAGCCCACCTTTCTAATTAAAGATTACGAAGATCCAAAGCTTTGGGCAGTTTTGGAAGAGCTTGATAGCATTGGAGGTGTGACAAAAGGTGCAGCAGCTTAAACCAACCATACCTATATTGCTTATGAACCGGGTAGAGTTCCCCCAATATAATCAAGTTTAATTTGATGGCTATTCTGTAGGAGAGTTTTTTATTCTCTCATTTGGAACTTGATACATAATTGAAATGGTTTATTGGATCAGTAATGAAGTTCCCAAGTGGAATGATGATTAGAGATCTATTGCCTATCTATAAAATGCAATATTTTTGTTACATACTGCTTTTTCTATGCTTGAAACTTGCTACTGAGCATTAGATTTTCTACTGAGTAGCTTTGGCATAGAATTCAAAGAAATTGCTAACATGAGAATAAATTCTCCATTGCACCATGTTAGAACCACCTTTGAATGATTTTGTTATTTTCATTACTCTGAAGATTTTATTAACTGAAAAATGCCCGATATAATATTTATCATTCTCACAATTTTTCTTTGCACAAAACTAGGAAGCTCAATATTTTCTCCTGATTTTTCTCACTCTCTCTACCAAATCTCTCCCTGAACTCGTACCTCGGTTTCACCATTTCTCTCAACTATGCGTATATGATGCCCAAAATATTTGGTGCCTATGGTCTGAGAAAACATTTTGCGTTTCATAGGATAATTACATTATACACTTCTTTTAAATTTGAAATTCTAACTTTACTTTTACTATTTTTATTCATTAATTACTAACTTCAAAATAGATAAAAATAGAGGCAACAATACACATCCTGGAGTTAATTATCCCAAAAATCACTGGATTGCTCACTAAAGTTTCAGATATCGAGTTTTGGACACTAAATTTATCAATATATTAGACGTTGATCGCTGGCATGATATCTGGTTCATAAATCTAACTAAATTGGTGACTTGACATACGAAATGCACAGGTAGCGCCCATACGTCGTTATGCGACCAATCACGGCACACCAAATTTCCACGTAAGAAATGTTTTTTTTATTGCTTACTATATTTTGAAAAACATCTTTGATTGCTTACTATAATTTTAAAGACGTTTTGATTGCTCACTATATTTAAGGTGATCAGAGTTTTGACCACTAAACTCTTAAAATTAACATCAACCTCTCTTGAAATTTAGGAATGTTATTCCAAGTATCAATTACACCCAACAAAATTTAATTTTGAGACGTGTTACAAGAGAATGTTTCAAAACATTTTGCAATGTACTAGAATTTCTTTGCAGTTCTTTCCATAGATTGATCCATATTCAAAGCTAGGTTTTTTAAGAGAGAACCAATGATAAGAGGAACTTGAGAAACTTCGATTCTAAATAGAGACATATTCATCCATATTGAAGTTTAAACATCTTGACGCTTGATCTCCCTAATTCATTTCTGATCACCTTATGCATTATACTAGTTGAAGTTAACTTGGACAATTTAAATTTGTCGATAAATATTGACTAACATTTGCGGCTACTAATTAAAAACAGAACAATGAAGAGGCACATGTAGATTATGAATTTTTTTGGTTAACGATCATATACATATTTTTGTTAAAATTAGTTATCAGAATTGTCAATGTTTTCTTGCCCTTTTGTTTTATAACATTCTGTTTTATATAAAGAGAAGTCCTTAATCTAATTGCACATGAAGTCCTTATTCTAATTGCACATGAAGTCCTTAACCTAATTGCAATAGAACTCACTTTCCTAATTGCAACTAAGGTAACGTTCCTTGATGAAAAATAACTTTTGCGACATTATATATTTCATTTTCATAGCCAAACAAGGATTATTATTATTATTATTTATTTTTTTAAGACTTTCATTTTATAAATTTCGGTCAAACCCCACGGAAAACATGTTTTGCCAAGCCTAAAAAGAAGGTACTTAGAAGTATAAAAATAAATTGCTTTTTTAGTATGCAAGTTTGGATAAACTTTTATTTGGATTGAATTATTATGGAAAGTGAAGATATAATTCTTGACTTTTAGTTTGATCTCAAACAAAGCCTGTCAAGATTTGCACTCCATCATCCATATATAATTAGCATTAGACATCGACCTCTAACCACAAGTATATATTCCAAGGAATTTAGTGTTAGTTAATTGGGATGCACTTTGATGCAGGAGATTGGACAACCCACATTTGAATACATCGAAATATTCTGAATCGGCTGGCCAGCATTACCGTAAGGTTCTGAGCCAGAATTAAGAGTACATTCTGTTTTATATAAAGAGAAGATATAATCTAATTGCACATGAAGTCCTTAACCTAATTGCTATAGAACTCACTTTCCTAATTGCAACTAAGGTAACGTTCCTTGATGAAAAATAACTTTTACGAAAATAACTTTTGGATAAACTTTTATTTGGATTGAATTATTATGGAAAGTGAAGATATAATTCTTGACTTTTAGTTTGATCTCAAACAAAGCCTGTCAAGATTTGCACTCCATCATCCATGTATCATTAGCATTAGAAATCGACCTCTAACCACAAGTATATATTCCAAGGAATTTAGTGTTAGTTAATTGGGATGCACTTTGATGCAGGAGATTGGACAACCCACATTTGAATACATCGAAATATTCTGAATCGGCTGGCCAGCATTACCGTAAGGTTCTGAGCCAGAATTAAGAGAACAACCACCATTCTCCTCAGACGAGTCTCTGGAGGCACCTAGGGAAGGACTGCCTACGGTTACTGGAGCACCAAGGTTCAACATGTTCGGAGGTGGTGCAGAATGTGGCCAAGACTTCGGGGGTTTCCCATCGGCAATAAAGCTTTCCACCACGACCTGTACGAGAAAAATATGGTTTAGTTGAAATTACTCGATATAGAGTGAGAGCACATTGGAACAGTACCTGTACGGGGTGACGCTGCCTTAAGCATTCCAGCAACTACCCCACGTAAGAGTCAAAGACTACCATCTGACCCAACCAACGACACGTTCAGACCACCTGTTCGACTTTGGTTTCTATTATTCTCTGATAGCAGGAAGGAACCTGTCAGAGATGATTTCAAATCGGCCCTGCAAATAGAGGATGCACCATAATGCACAGGCTCAAACAAGTAATTGAAACATGCAAGTATAATGGAAGTAACAAGCAAACTATTCTCAAAATGACAGTGTCTTAGGCACTAGCAATTTTGCAAAGGATTTGAAGAGATCTCTCTTTAATTTGAATACGTGTACAAGTGAGGATTTCTGAGTTCGACAAACTTGTGACAGTCAATTAAAGTAGATAATGCATAGATTGAAACGCAAAGTATAACTTCACTTAGATACGATAAGAACCCTCAAGAGCTGGTACTGTCACCGCAGCCTGTTAGCTTAACAAGTATCTCCCAGACTATAGATTGTGGAGTGCATATTGTACTGTTGTTGGCAGGCCTATGTACACAAAAGCAGGACAATAAGTTGCGGAAAAGTTCTAAATGACACATCACTAGATAGTTACCATAAAAACCTCATGCAACCCTCAACCACAAAAAGAGTATCATAGAGAGCACATATAATGCATTTTGTGAATAGAGGAAAGATTGGAAAATATTCTCTTCTTATTCTCTAATTGGAAACAGACGACACATATATATACAAAACTTAAGAACTATCTTAGGAAAATATGTAAATAAGGAATATAGAATTAAGCTAATTAGCCAACTAATTACAATCTATAACTCTCCCCCTCAAGTTGGAGCATAGATATTAATCATACACAACTTGTTACAAAGATAATCAACCCGAACCCCATTCAGAGCTTTCGTGAAAATATCCCC